ATTTGGCTTGGATATGACAGCCGCTGTAGAAATGTAATGGCAGGAACTTCATGTTCAATTAGATATAAAGAATGGGGGAAGTGAAGAAAATCAAGACAACTGGTGTTTACTCTTACATGACATCTGAGGAGAGTAATGTTATAAATACCAGGGCAAGAGCATGTGGGAGGGAAAGTATGATTTTGGCCATGATAAGTTTGAGGTATTAGAGGGGGTACATATTGCACCATCTAGCAAGTATTTAAAGGCCTCAGGGGCATCATTTGGCTACTGTTCTGCATTAAACTCCTGAGTCCAAAAGTATCCCAATACCATAAATCCTCACCCAAAAGGACCTTAAATATTAAGTGGCCCAATCCCCAACCAGTTTTCCGAATCTCTATAATATCTCGTCTTAGGCAGTCTTTGAATCTCCATTCAGACATTCCTTAGGCCATTTTTTCTCTATCCATTTGTAATTCCCATAACAAGTCCTAATTGTAAGCCCTGGGGATTAAGTAAGATAATGCCCTTTCCATGTGTCAAGTATCAGGATATGGGCAAATTGTTTTCATGCCCTTCTCTGGGTCTTCTCTTTTCCAAATAAAATGTTTCCTATGCTTTCACTGTCTCCTCATGGGATATTTGGAGACAATTCACGTCTTGGTCTGTTATCGTGGAAGATGTCTATATATATATTTGTTTAAATCTGTCTTTTTTTAATTTTTTTTTTCAACGTTTATTTATTTTTGGGAGAGAGAGAGACAGAGCATGAACGGGGGAGGGGCAGAGAGAGAGGGAGACACAGAATCGGAAACAGGCTCCAGGCTCCGAGCCATCCGCCCAGAGCCCGACGCGGGGCTCGAACTCCCGGACCGCGAGATCGTGACCTGGCTGAAGTCGGACGCTTAACTGACTGCGCCACCCAGGCGCCCCTGTTTAAATCTGTCTTAATGTTTGGCAGATGGGACTAAGAACAGGGCTCTGGCACAGGGTATTGTATGGAAACCAATTTGACAATAAATTTCATATTAAAAAAAATAAAAAGGAAGCTGGCATTAAAAAAAAAAAAACAACAGAGCTCTGCGGTTGGCCTGACCATTGCAGAGTAGGACAGCACCAATCTCGTCAGTTACTCCAAGCATACCATCTGACAGTGATTTTCCTGATATAAAATATACATAGTATACAGGTATTAGCAAGAGAACAGAAAGCATAGGTTCACCCAAAAACCTGTACGTGAACATTCCTTGTAGTGTTACTCATATTAGCCAAAAAGTAGAAACAATGCAAATGCATATTAACTGATGTATGTAAACAAAATATAGTATACCCATACAGTGAATGATCAACCATGAAAATGGATGAAGTACTACTTGAAAACATTATGCTAAATGAAAGAAACCAGACACAAAATACCACATATTGTATGATTCCATTTATATGAAATGTGCACGATAGGCAAATCTGTAAAGACAGAAAGTAAATCAATAGTTGCCGGGGGCTAGACAGAGGGAGGAGGGAATGGGGAGCGATTGCTAATGGGTACAGCGTTTCTTTCTGAAGTGATAAAAATGTTCTGAAATTAGGTAGTGGTGATGGCTGCACAGCATTGAGAATGTATTAAAAATTACTGAGTTGTACACTTTAAAGTAGTGAATGTTAATGGTGTGTGAATTGTATCTTAGTAAAGCTGTCATAAATATGGGTATTACTTCCTATCTGAAGGTGAGGATCTTATGAGGATTAAATGAAATAACACATACAAAGTGGTTAAAGCACAGTGCCTGGTATAATATGTTTCTTAATATGTTAACATAGTATGTTACTTTATTAGTGATTAATATTGTTGCTCTTCATGAAAATAACACTGCTTAAACATTGGTGGGTAAGCTGCAGCTTTTATTCACTGCTCCCTTTGTGCATTATTACCTGTTACCTAGTATAGAGTTAATAAATACTTTGTAATGAATCTGTTTTTGTTCATATGCATGTTTAGCCACATTTGCCAAAGTGGTTGTCTTTTGCTGTTGTTCTTTGCAGCATGTTACTGAATCAGCATCATTGGATCTAACTTTGAGCTTGTAGTAGTAGCAATCAGAGCCAATAGTTTGAGCCAGTAGTAGTAATCAGAGTGATATGAATCTCTTGACAGTGCATATTTCATAGTTGGAGTTAGGAGTTTTGACTCAGTTTGGGGAAGGAAGGTTCTACCTTGAATTCAAGGTGAAGGTAGGGACAAAGTGATTCTTGAGCTTTTTTGCAGTAACATAATTCTGCTTTATGTTTTTATAAGAACATAATTGGCCTTTCTTAAAGTCAACATCAAATATAGGCAATATGCTAGATAACAGTGCAGTGAATATCTTCTTGGGGGCACTGGTGGTTGAAATTGTATCAGTCACTTGAAATGTAAATTAATATTTATTATAAAGGCATAAAATATGGTCCTATTTAATAACCATTGTGAATGCAGCCAACTGAATAAAAACAATAAAGTTAGAATAAATAAACAAAAAAAAAGAACATAATTGGCCTGTCAAAAACGTGGTTCTTAATGGTTTATTATCAGTTCTCTGAAGAGTAGAGGACTTCATCTTGGTTTAAAAAAAAATCCGTTCCTAGAAACTTAACAGATTTAAACTGATAATTTGTTCCACTGAACCTAACCCACAATTTCCACATGTAAGAAATTATTTTAAAATAAGATAGAAACATTTTTTCTCTGAAAAAAATTTTTTTTTGAAAAATTCACATCCTTTTATATATGTTAACTAACTTGGATGTAAATTCAAAAAAATAATAATAATAAAAATAAATTCACATCTTTTGATAAAGTTGGCATTCTAATAACACTGAGTTGCTTCTACAACTGTATCAGCAAGGTGCCATCTACTTATACTGAGGTTCATGAAGAGAAGTTTTTGTTTGTATTATCCAGCATTCTTTCTAAGACCAGTGGAAATGTTTTCCTTTGGTCTCTAAGGAATGGTTGTGCTCCTCAGCTTCTTTCAGCCTTCTGCATCCCATGAACCATATAGTTGATCACATTTCCTGGCTGTCGTAAACCGTTGGGGGGCTCAGTGTCCACTTCGCGGCTCTCACCTCTGGGAAGTTCCAGGACTTCTGTCCTGGCCTTTCACGAACACCCCTTCCTCTGGACTCCCAACTTTTGTTTCTTACTTTTATCTTCTCTTCTAATTTATAGAAATACTCTTTTATTTTTATTACTGTTTGTGTATATCTTATTTATCTTCGAAAGCTGCTTTTATAATTCTTTGGGAGACAAGGCTACCATTGTTGAAACCAGTATTCTAAAAATTACCCCCAAAACATCTACCTATAACTTTCCCCTCATACCAATAGGGAGGAATGGAAGAGAAGGCAAAAGGAGTTTGTAAGCTTTTCTTTTTTTGAAGCTTTTTTGAGTGTCTCTTTTTCCTGTTTTTTTAATAGAAGTTGGTGATATGGCAAAGCAGTACATAGAGAAGGGTCTTTTGGTTCCAGATCATGTGATCACACGCCTAATGATGTCGGAGTTGGAGAATAGGCGCGGCCAGCACTGGCTACTAGATGGTGAGTTGAACCTGTGGGTAAGCTGGATGTCTGTGATTAGTTGGTTGTGCACACTCCCTTAATTTCTGACCCATTGCAAAATACTTTTTCTTCCAAGCTTTCAGTCATTTATTAGGCATATTCCAATTTGGCAAAATGATAGAAACTCACTGTGATAAAGCCTTTTCATTTCTGTCTCCAGACTACCATCCCTAGAGCCATTGACTTGAAGCAAACCTTTACTGAATTCCCTTTACTGTTACAGTTTCGATGGTGCTCATTGTTTCCATGACTAAGTTGTCATAGGTATGACGCATCTTAAATCAGAGGTTCTTTCATTCATAATAGGCCACACAAATTAACACCATGAGTTACCATTTTTCATCTGTCAGGTTAACAAAGATAGAAAATCTGAAGATCTTTTATTGAGTGTAAAAGAAATAAATATTATTGAGAGTATAAAACAGGCAACCATTGGAGGACAGTTTAGCCATCTTTATACTTTTTTTTTTAAGTTTATTTTTATTTATTTTGAAAGGGAAAGAGAGAGCATGTACATGTGAGAGCATGGGGGAGAGCAGGAGAGAGAGAGAGAGAGAGAGAGAGAGAGAGAGAGAGAATATCCCAAGCAGGCTCTAAGCTGTCAGCACAGAGCCCAACGCAGGGCTCAGTCTCAGGAACTGTGAGATCATGACCTGAGCCGAGACCAAGATTTGGACACGTAACTGACTGAGTTGTCCAGGCACCCCAGCATTCTTTATATTTCCTGACTCAGCAGTTCCCTGCCGGATTTCTTCCTAAAGAAAGGTTGTCAAGGTTGTCTGTTCTCATCATTATTTGTAACTAGCAAGACACTGATAACAACCTAAGTATCTATCATAGGGATGCCTTAAAAATTAGTATGTCTGTTAACCGAATAATGTGTACGTATGTGTTGGCATGGATAGATCTCTAAGATGCACTGCCGAGTGAAAACAGCTAGCTGCAGTAGAGTCTATATCATATACTATTATTTATGTAAACATGGAAGGATGCTGTGGTATTTATTACTCTCTCCATGTAGAAATACATGCATAAGCTCTCTTTGAAAGGATATTAAAAAGACTGATATAGTCTTTGATACTGTTTGGTTGTTTTTTTTTTTTTTTGAGTATGTATTTAAGTAACACCTGGACCTTATTTAAGACTTCTATTAGAGGTTCCTAAACTTTTTAGGCAAATAGGCCCCTTGATGACAACTATGATATTTCTCCTAGGAAATGCCTGCAGATGCTTACACACAACATATTACACAATTCTCCATGAAGCTGAAATTCAGAATCTTCTACTTTAAATTTTAAGAAAAACAATGGACTGGGTGGATTATTTCTTATTCTTGAATAGCAAGATTCCTGGGTACAATAAAAATAGAAACTTGATGAGCATGCTACTTTCTAGGACCACAGAATGGCAGAGAATGAGATTTCTCTATGAGGAACTTGTTTCCATTGCAGAGCGGTTTTTAGTTCACACAAGGCACTCAATCCCATATTAATTTTGTGAAACTGAAGCTTCAGGAAGTTGTGACAGTTGAAACCTTGATGTTTGCCAGCCACAGAGAAGCCAGATGAATTCCCTACATTTAAACTATGAGATTGGCTATATTTCTCCTAAAGTCTGGAACCATGAGTCTCCAAAATGACTAGTATGGTGCGGTCTTTATTGTCTATCAGTGTTTCTCAAAGTGTGTAGTGTGCAGTGTTAGTAATTGCTAGACAAGAAAGCAGATGTGTCAAGTTAAATATTAAAAGTTGCTAGCATTTATTGAGTACTTATTGTGTGCAAGCATTGTTTGGAACACCTGATATTTTTTCATTCAATCCCTACAATACTGTAAGAAGTAGATACTGTTATTCCCATTTAATAGATTAGAAGACTGAGGCAAAGTAGGCTTTAGCTAACTGCTCAAAGGTAGTAAGTGCCAAAGTTAAACACGTTTTCTTTACTTTAGGACTTCATTGAAACTTTAATATAATGCAATTTAACTCTTCACAGAAGGAGACATCATGAGGCATTTTCTGAATTTATTTGATTTTAGAATCCCCCACCTCATTCCCAACACTCACCAAGAACCTACAAGGTTTGTTCTGTGGAGCATTCATTGTGAACTATTATTTAACATGTATTCCTCACTTTGTAGGTTTTCTGAACAGTTGACTATAAAGTAGATCATGTCTTTCTGGACTTTGGATTTAAACATTTGGAACTCTGTTCTCATGGGACTAGAGGGAACTGGTGGATTGAATTTAAAACTTTTGCTGAGAGAAAGGCTATAATGGCCTACAAAAGGCATCCTCTTATTCATTGGGCAATAATGAATAAAGCTCCTCTTGTGTGTCAGAAATTACTAGGTGCTGTTGATAAGATGCTAAGACACTGTCCCTATCACAGTAGGGGAATCAGTAAAATAGTTACTGATAGCAGAATAGAAGCATATATATGGGTACCCCGCAGATACAGAGAAGAAAATTATGTTCTGGTAGTGAGAGGGGGTACTGGAACAATATTATGGAAAAAGAGATAAATAGAGGTTCCGCAGGTTGATGAATGGGGGTTGGAAGGCAGATGTTCTCTGCAGAAGGGCATGTGAACTAGGTAAGAAAAGGATGGCATAGCTTAGTATTTTCCTGGGCCTGCAAGCAGAGGCAGGCAGGGGAAATCCTGGAGCGGATGGTGTTTGATTCAGTACAAAGATGGTGGAACCAGAAATTGTTTGCTCCCAGGACCATTGAAAAGTTAATTAGGGCCATAACATGATCAGATTTGTGTCTCAGAAAGACTGTTCTGTTAGCAGAGGAGAGAGTAGGTGGTGGGGCAGGGACGAGGTGGAGGCTAGAAGCCAAATACAAGACTGTTGGAATATTTGGACCATGGGATGTTGAAAGCCTGAATTTGGGCAATGGTGGTAGGATGGAAAAGAGGCACCATCCAGGAGAGAATGGATTGAGGGGGAAAAATTGACAGGAGTTATGAGTGAGGTTAGCTACTACAGCCCTGTGGTTTTCTTTTTTTTCCTTCCCTCCCTCCCTCCCTCCCTCCCTCCCTTCCTTCCTTCCCTTACCTTGCCTTTCTTTTTTTTTTTTTTTTTTTTTTTTTTCTCTTCTCTTTTCTCTTCTCTTCTCTTCTCTCCTCTCCTCTTCTCTTCTCTCCTCTCCTCTCCTCTCCTCTTCTCTTCTCTTCTCTTCTCTTCCTTTTTTTTTTTTTTTTTTTTTCTTTTCTTTTCTTTTCTTTTCTTTTCTTTTCTTTTCTTTTCTTTTCTTTTCTCTCTTCTCGTCTGGTCTCGTCTCATCTGGTCTTGTCTCATCTCGTCTCGTCTCGTCTCTTCTCTCTTTTGTCTTCATACAGGGCTTGGATTCAAGAAGAGTGTGGGATCAAGACCTGAGCTGAGATCAGGAGCCAAACTCACTTAACCAGTTGAGCCACCCAGGCACCCCTGGAGTTTTCTTTTTTAGAGATTTTAATTTTTCAAGTAATCTCTATACCCAACGTGGGGCTCCAATTCACAACTTGAGATATAGAGTCCACATGTTCTACTGACTGAGCCAGCCAGGTGCCTCCTGGCTTTTATTGCTCACGGAGGTTTGCACTTTTTGTTTCTTGACTGTCATCACCTGCTTTGCGCTTCTCTAGGCCACTTGAATTTCTCCAGGCGTGACACATTGACTCACAAAATGTAGTCCTCCACAGTGTCTAGGTGTTTGCCATGATGGGTAAACTTTGACTTTGCCACCACCTGACTATAATTTCTCTGGTTTAAATTCTTTAATTGTAAAGCTTGTCACCTTGCAAAGCAAACTTCTGTAGTTTTAGTGTAAACTTTGTTTTAAAAAAGGATTGTCTATATTAAACTCCTTTGGAAAGGTGGTTAGTGTAATAACCACTAACCCCAGTTAGGTGCCAGACTGCCCGTTTGAATCCCAGCTCTGCCATTTACTGACAGTCTGTGACCTTGGGCAAATTATTTTACCTCTGTGGGCATTTTATTCCTCATGGAAAACAGGGATTAGGAAAGGGTTTGTAGGGATGAAGTGAATATATGTAATGTTCTTAAAAGAATGCTTGCCATATATAATAAGTGCTATATAGATATGCTATTATTATCTGTCCTAAGTGGTATACAGGTCCTGAATGTTTTTTTTGTTTTTGTTTTTTTGGTGACTACATGAAGTGTTAAGTACAGGAATAATTTAAAAAATATTTAGCCATGTGAAATTGAAGGTCAGTTTTAGTTATGGAATGCTTCTGTGTTTTGCTTTTGCCATAACTATTCCTCTCAGGGAGAATAACTAAAGTTCTTTTACATCACAGGCCTGTTTTTAGTGAAGTGCGTCAGTATCATGGCTGATTTAGTTTGTATCTTTCTCCTTGAAGACCCATCTGGTCACTTTTTCAGTTGTGATTTTCCTTTAAAGCTCTGGAATAAATCCATTTGGCAAAGTGAGGAGTGTTAAGAATGCCTCATTCTGTGTTCAGCCTTAAACTCCTTATGTTACAGGGCACATGCTCTGTGGAGGACGTGCCTGTTGAGTGTGCTAAAGGTGATTGAATGTGCAAAGGTCGAGAAAAGAATTCTGGATGACAGATGACTCATCATCTTGGTCCATATGTCTGTAGAGAGGCATCTGCAAATGGTGGGTGGAAACAAGTAGAGTGGACGCAAGCCAAGGGAAGGCCAGGAGGGGTTGGTGGATGGGGTGCCTGAGTGCTGTGTGGTTTGGTCAGCTATGTCCTTGCTAAAGATAGTTCAGCTGTATCTTACCTTTGCAGTTTTCTCTCCAGCTGAGTAAGAAACACTGTTTTATGTGTTAATACTTGTATACATCTGTGGGGGCTTTTCTCCTTTTTTCTTTCTCTCCCTCTATCTTTTATGTCCTTAGAAGTTGAATGTGTGAGAACAGTTTTTAAAAGTTTTCTTTAATTTTTAAGACAAATATTCTACTAGAAGAATGGAATGTGCTGCAAGCTTTCTAATTTTGTTATAA